GGCAATCCAAAGAATAGAGTGATTAACTTTGGTAGAATAACTTACAACATAGTGCTTTTTGTAGTCTTCGAATTTTGATTGCTGTACGGTAGGCAGAGAAACGTACATTATTCAGGTCAGCTGAAACGGAAAAAGGAACAATTCACAAGCATGCTTATTATTTAACTTATATTGAATGCCAAGAATGCATTTGCTCACTTCAGATAATGGAAAAACACTATGTCTGTCTGAAATAAAGTCTTCTCCTAAATTCTACAACATGTATTTAAGAAAGTAATTAAATGACTATTAGCACCATGTTGAGATCTATCGCAAAGCAGTGCTAAGCAGAGAAGAAAGCATTTTCAAATAGGTGTCAGGGCTCAGAACATGATACCCCAAAGTATGGTGTCTTGGCACACTAAGGAGCTTGGAAGGCCTCAGAAGCAAGGTCTTCCTGATCTTCTTCCATCCTCCTGTTCCCTGTCCCTCTTTCTCCCTTCCAAGTGATGCACAGAAACCAGAACTACTCTTCCACAAGGTGAAACATAGAAACTTGAACTTCTCTTCCTCAAAGCAAACTTAGAAAATTCACTCTCTGACTTTATCCTCTCTCCCTTGAAGATGCTTGTGTGACAGCTGTCCTGTCCCAGGGGGGAAAAATGCCACACAGAGAGGCCCAGAAGAAGCTGAACACGCAGGCTTTGCCGGGTTTCCCCCTCAGTCTATCACCATTAGATCACAGCCTTTGTCCCATGACATTTCTGCTGGCTGTCCATTCTTCACTGAACCTAAGCATAAAACCAGACACTTTCCCGTGGGTCTTTGGGTCTTCATTTCTGAAGGTTCTTATGTCACATAAAACTTTGATTAAATAAATTTTTTATGTTTTCCTCTCTTAAGCTGTCTTGTGTTATGAGAGTGCCACTGTGATCCTTACGATGGGTGAGGAATGGTGTCACACCTTTCTGCCCCAGGTAGGAAAAGACAGAAGATCAGGAAAGGGAAGCACAGCTATTATTACAGTTTAATAAACACGTAGCACAGTAGGCTGAGGGCCCTTCCCGCTCTACTGCTAAAGAGAATTCTCCACCAGGGGCATTTTCCCCAAGGACTATTAGTTTTCTTTCCACCAAGCTGTCCATCTCACTACTCATGAAGCTCTGAACTTATTTTAAAGTTCCTTCCATCCTGATTTATTTGCTTCTTCTGCCCCTTTGTAGATCTGGTTAAAATGATCCTCTAATCGATATTCAGATCTTCATTCAGAAACAATGGATATTTCGATTTCTTTCTCCGCCTCCTAAAGACAGAGTGTCAGAGACTAGAGAAGTTAGAAGAAAACTCAGAAATCACCAAAATCTGCCCCCTCATTTTACAAACCAGTGGCTTTTCTGTTGCTTGCCCAACCTTTGCAGAATCCCTCACCCATCCAAGTAGCTCATGCTTGGATATTTACAGAGATAAAAAGGGGCGCTCCTCTTGCTGAAATGGGAGTGGGAGAGGGAGGCCTAGTGTGCAGCTCTAACTCTCCAGCAGCCCTTTAGCTACCCAAAGAGAAAACTTTCAAAACTACTGGAACAACCTGAAGGAAGTAGGATAAATAATCAGTTGAAAGTCATAGTCTACTAGAAATTAAAACAAAACTGGAACTCTCACCTGATGTGTTTTCTTGCATTTTTATACTAAAATGAAATGAAATTTGATAAGCTCATTTGATAAAATTTACTAAGTAAAAAGTGAGCCAAAAGCAAATTTAAAGCAGTAGATTAGAGTTTGCTATATTTTAACTGTGTAT